TAACGTTGTGATAATTATAACATAGATCTATCACATTATTTGCAATGAGAAGGCCTAATGTACTTACAACTACGATAAATTACAAATGTTATCAATACAATTTACATGAATATTAGAGTAACATAATTATCCCTAATTCCACCGTACGACTACAAATAGTGTAAGGATATTCCAACAGATGTAAATATCCACAATCGTCTTGGATGGGAAGGGTCCTGATTTGGCAGGGGAAACCTATAACAGAATATGCATCCAGTTATTTTGCAGCAACGCAAATGTTGGAAGTGTTGTGCACATACGCTAATTTCCTGAAGCCATTTTGAAGAGGGTTATATGCATATGCTGGCACAAAGCCATGTCTGAAACTAACATTACTGTTATACATGAGTATATAGATTCAAAACAATGGACTAAAAACTGCTGCTCTATAGGAGTGATAATAGAGCAATAAATTCGTAATAATTTAACGTAAACTTGATGTATACATGATCATTCAGAAGATACACACATATGTAGTAAATTGTGTTAACATTAATTTAGCATAACTTATTGGCACACAAGTCTAAAATCACAATTCCAAATTGAAAAGGCAAACAAATATAAAAAGAAAACAGTAATAATCGTTAACACGGAGTTAAACTAAAACCAAATGAAGACTCATAACAAAAAAACATCCACGACTACTCACTCTTCTCCGGCTTGATTGTCTTTCTAAGCTTGTTAGAAGATAACTCTCCATCACAGAATTCCTCTAAGGTTATTAATTCACTTGAACCCCCTGGAAAGTCTCTCTTACCAATAGGCGTCGTTGGATCCAAGTTATGCTTAGAGGTGATCTCGAGATCCTGTTACATAATGAATCAACAAAATGTTTTATTTTATACTATTCAGACAACATAAACCTAGGCAGGAACAAGGAGGGAGTCATAGATTACCGTTTCCTTTACACAATCTTCAGGCGCACTTGTCTTGGTCTCATCCACACTCTCCTTAATCTAAGCATAATATAACAGTAATCAGTATTTGTCATATAACCATATAACAACAATTATCATAAAATAACGAAAAACTGCAATAGTGTAAATACCTGCAGAGGATCAGATGTTATGGAAGGGACCAAAACAACTTCCTTATTGAGGTAAGCAAAGTATCGATAGAAAAGTTGGGTAATACCCAAATTATCAAACAACCTAAAATACCAAAACCATGTTAAAAAAGATTATACCTCGTCTATGTCCCATGGAGCTTTAAGCTGTATGATAAAAGGCTCATACCTAAGGATCCTCACAACAGATCAATTGTTCCATCGCGACTGTCAGTTCACCTTAAATGTCATCTCCAAGTTTAGCAGTTGATCCAGTGCCAATGGGAATTCCAATGGATCATCAATTCTTGCCTATATAACAAACCTCAACAATGAGTACCAAAACATTACAAAAATGAATATACTAAGGGTGGGGAATAAGACACTAAACCTTAATCATAGTATGACGTAGTTAGGCAGCAGATAAACCCAAGAGAACCTCACATTCTCTATTCCAAAACACAAAGTTACAACTGCTGCCCCCGTGGAAAACCTGAATCTTTATCTTGTACCTACAATGTCATGATTACATGATATAAAAAATATGATGACGTAAATACACAAAAATAGCTTTCACGGCCACTACATATATTAAAGGACAAGTAATAAGACCTAAAGATTTCAACCTCAGTTGAATGACCAGCATCACAGTCAAACGACAGAGTGTCACCACGTGCAATGCAAGGACACAAATGACAGGCACGGTAACACCACCCAAATGGAGATGCAACCAGAATCCTTGTTTTAGCAACAGTGGCGCAAAATGTAATTTGCATCAATAGCCCATGACATGAATCCCAAATTTTAAAAAAATAAGTGACCAACACAAATGAAAAAAAACAACAGCAACAACTAAATTGTATCATACATCACGGAGTTTGATTATTTCTCCAAGAGGCAAAAAAAACAGCACTTGAGAGTAACATCTGAGCAGGACTGAGTTGTGTTTTTTCAGAGTTCTGCGATGATAGCTGCGAACCCGAACCCATGTGCCTGGAGACAGTAATGATAGACTCCTTAGGCATGCTGCATGAGTAAGTGAATTAAAAAAATGTTCACACAACAACACGAGAATTCCAACCTCTCAATGGATAGCTTCGAATTGATACAGAGAACATACCAGTCAATGAAATCTTTGATCGGAGGAAAACCAGCATCGAGGCAGAGCAACGTAACATTGTAGGTGTTTGTCACCGACAGCGGAAACTTCCCTACACAAACAAAAATAAGTGGCAAGTGTGAGTGGTAAAAAACAAATAGTTTCGTAATAACATAATGAACTAACCAACCCTCTTGTTTGACTTTTGCATACTGCAACAGCAACACAGTTGGACCAGAGCTATTGTCAGGATCCTGGTTGAATTTGATAAACTGTTCGGCATACGATTCCCAAAGAGTACAATTCAGAGTGTTGTTGCTAAACAATGAATACACAATATTTGGTCAGCAAAAGAACTTTAAGATGCACTTCAATATGATATAACAACAACGCCCAAAGTGCTGGATTACATACTTGTAGTCCCTTAATATCATATTAACCTGCAGTTTTTTTGAACCTGACTGCATCTGTGAATACCCAATGCCCTCAACCATTCCAATTACATCTTGTCAAAAAAAGACAAACACCCGCATAAGACAAAAACATTACATCGAATTCAATTACGCGACTAAAAGATTAAAAACAACGTTAAATTTTTTTTACCTATCAACACATCCTTGTTATAATTGTCGCTGATTATATCGGAAAAACCAGTAAACACCAGCGATTTCGTAGATATGTCATGTTTGTTATCATCCTCAACAGGCGTACCTCCTGTAAACTTAAGAATAAATTTTTGAGCCAAAGGTCTAAACAACGACACATTCGGCTGGACCTTAAAGTTGGCCACACTATAAGTATGGCCCAGCAAAAGTTTTTCATCAAAAATAGACTTATGTGCCGCCGGGACAACAACATGTATATCATCGCCCTGCAATATACACAAAAATAACAGAATATCAGAAAACTAACAATTCACTACGCAATGCACAAAAAATTTATCATAACAACAGAATATGCCAAGGAAACTGTGCGAAAAACAGAACATTCAGACGCAGAGAAAATATATTTTACTGCTTTGTCCACAAATATCATTTCAAAATGCTCTTTGTTGTTAATTAGCATATTCCATCAATGATGAACCCTAATTGCAACTTTCCATAATTCTTTACCGTCATTGATGTCGCATACAACTTCAATTGGTCGTGCCATGGTAAACCGATAGGAGGGACAGGATGCGAAAACGGTAAGGTTAGAGGAATGTGATGTTGTAACAGAAATTTAGAACATGGAAGGTTATAAAGAATGATAGCCATGTTGGTTTTGGGACGGTTATAGAATGGTAGTCATGATGCGTTATGGATAGGGGTGTTCGTGGTGCGTTTTGGGCGGTTTTGAAGCAAAAAATCACCTGAACCGTAAGAGAAAAAACATGCGGTTCAGTTTGGTTTGGTTGACTTTTAAAAATAAATTCGAACCAAACCAAACCAAACTAATGCGGTTTAGATTGGTTCGGTTTTTTACAAAAAAATTATTAAGCCATACATACACATATAGAGGAAAATATAATTTTGTATTTAATTGTTCATACATTACCATAAAAAAATTTATAATTGTCAAAATAAATTTATGATTTGATACATAAAATTGCATATTATAATTTTATCTAAATCTAAAGAATGATATAGACAAGATTGTATTCTTAAATAAATATTATACAAAGAATACGATAAAATATATTTTGTGAAAATAGTATTTATAAATAAATCATATTTTCTTTTTTTATGATTTGTAAATTAAAATAAATATCATACAAAATATGATAAAATATACACATAATACATGTTGATTTCTCTAAAGAATTAAAGAAATATATATTGGTTAGTAAGATTTTATAACATAATGCGGTTTTATTTGGTTTGGTTCGATTTGCAAAATGTAAACCGCAAACCGAACCGAACCGCACGGTTTCGTTAGAAAATGACTCAAACACATCCGAATCAAATACAGTTTTTTGCAGTTTCGGTTTGGTTTGGTTCGATTTTTGCGATTCTATTGGGCTGGTTTGGTTTTGAACACCTGTAATTATGGATAGCAGTTACAAAATTGACAATGAATAGAGGTTGTTGGAGGGGCATGGAATAGAACTGCATCGTGGGAGAGTTTAGGAGAATATGAAAATCTAAAATAGAGATCAAAGAAGATATTTATGTGTTGGAACAAAAGGACAAAATTGACGGTATGGATAGAATGAGTTTTTTTATATTATAGATATAGAGATATAGAGGAAGGGAGAGAGGGGAAGGAGGGAGAATATTTTTTAAAAGTAATTTAAAAAATAGAATTTTAATATTTCTGATAATTTTTGCTTTGAAATAAAAGTTGTCTGATAGCTTATTGAGGAAAAAATTCATATTTTTGACCAAGTTCATGCTATCTGTTTTGTCCCATAGTTTTTTTATCAAAGTAAAAAAAGTTCAGTTCATGTTTTTTTTAGCAAAACAAATCACCCATAATCTACTTTCTAAAATATCATTTTTATATTTATATTTTTCATATATTTTTGAAACACTTTTAGCATTTGTCTAATTCATAAAAAAATCTTTAACTATTACTTTTGGTAATTGGAAACAGGTTTTGACTAATTTTATGAATTAAATACCATTTATAATCATTGATAAGAATTTTAATGCGCGGGAGAAAATTAAAATACTTGCGACCCCTACATGTTTGGCTATTGTCCATATTTCATAAATACCCCTTCGTCTTCGTCATGGACCAACACTACACCAACAACACAAGTAAGAAACATCTCAGTCTATAAGAAAAAGAAGAAAAAAAAACTTGTAGATCCCATTTCCATTACAATTTACAATCATGGTGACCACGAAAACTCATGCAGTTCTTCTAGCCAGCCCTGGTATGGGACACCTAATTCCCACAGTCGAATTAGGTAAACGTCTTGCCACTCACCACGGTTTCGACGTCACCATCTTGGTCGTCATAGCCAGTACCGATTCCTCCGACACAACAAAATCATCTAAAGTTCAACAAACATCCAACATTAATGGACTCAAAATTATTGTTACACCTCCTTCTGTCGATGTCTCTGACAAAATTGACCCAAACCACTCCTCACCCTTAGGTGCAAGAATCATTTTAACTATGATTGAATCTCTTCCTTTTATTCGATCCAAAATCTTATCCATGAAGTTTCCACCATCGGTTCTTATCGTGGACATCTTCGGCACTATGGCTTTACCCATGGCACGAGATCTTAACATGTCTACCTACGTTTTCTTTACCACCAACGCTTGGTTTTCAGCTGTTATGTTATACGCTCCTTTCATCACCAATGAAGCGTTTTCAAGACATGCTATTGATCACGAACCGCTTTTGATTCCGGGTTGTGAACCGGTTCGGTTTGAGGATACACTGTTTCATTCTCCATGGGGACCTACTCATGATGGTTTCGTCAATAATGCAAAGGAGATATTATCCGTTGATGGGATTTTGATCAACACGTGGCAAGATCTTGAGCCGGGAGCAACTAAGGCTGTTATTGATGGTGAGATTTTAAGCCGGTTTGCGAGAGGACCGGTTTATCCGGTTGGACCGCTCGTAAGAACAGTTGAACCGGAGGAGAAGAGGAAGAGTGAGAATGAGAATTTAATTTTAAGATGGCTTGACCGGCAACCGGCTGAGTCGGTGATTTTTCTTTCGTTCGGAAGCGGTGGGACTCTGTCTGAAGTTCAGACGAGGGAATTGGCTTACGGGTTAGAGTTGAGTCAGCAGAGGTTTGTTTGGGTGGTGCGGAGGCCCTCGGAAGATGATGCATCTGCGGCGTTTTTCGAGGCGGGGAAGGGTATTGATGGATTAGATTATTTGCCTGAGGGGTTTTTGAGTAGGACAAAGGAAGTTGGGATATGTATCCCAACATGGGCTCCACAGACTGAGATTTTGAAACATCCTGCGACGGGTGGTTTCGTGACGCACTGCGGTTGGAATTCTGTGTTGGAGAGTATCCTCAGCGGTGTTCCGATGGTTGCGTGGCCGCTTTATGCAGAGCAAAAGATGAATGCTACTATGTTGTCCGATGAGCTTGGGGTTGCGGTGCGGGCGACGGCGGCGGAGGGAGGTGTTGTTTTTAGAGAAGAGATAGCGGATGTGATTAGAAGAGTGATGGTGGATGAAGAAGGTGTAGGTATGAGGGTTAAAGTTAAGGAGTATAAGGTAAGTGGAGAGAAAGCTTTGTCTACGTTTGGTTCTTCTCATGAGTCGTTTTGTCAAATGGCAAAAGAATGTGAAGTTTGTGGTGCTTAGGCAATAATTAAGGAGGCAATTTTACACATATTAAAAAATATTGATAAACGAAAAGAAAGAATAATAAATTTATCAAATTATATTGATTAATTATTGATTTATTTAAATTAACATTTTTAATCTAAAATGACAAACATTTTAGGACATGTTTTTTTTATTAAAATGTGACACTTATTTCAGGATTTAAAGAGTATATTAAATTATTTTAAATATTTATAGAAATTAAGAAAGATTTATTATATGTTTTGATAATTTTTAATATATTATATAAATTAAAAATTTTGTTTTTATTAATTATATTTGTAGTTAACTGTAATACGGTGGGAGAATTAACTTTTAGGTTTTGTGTTTTATCGTAAATGTTGCGGATAACCTCTTAATCACTAGCTCACTTTTGAGATGTTTTGTGTTTGTGTATGTTTGAAATATATTTTGAAAATGTCTAAGTTCGACAATTTTGTAATGATTCTCGTATCGTTGAGAATGAATGCAAAATGTTTATTTTGAAAATATTTATTGAAAAAATGTTGTTTTGTGAAAAGTGTTTTAAAGATGTCAATGTAAGGCGGTCTGCTTTATAATAACCCTTGTATTAGTCTTCAAAAGTGTTTATAAAGTATTTTGAAAGTAGTTGTTTTCGAAAGTGTGAGGTGTTGAAATTGTTTTAGTTTGTGAGCAAGCGATTACGAGCGATCTACCTACTCAAAAAGTCTTTGTTCTTTTCCTCCTCCTTTAGATAATGCTACCCTACCATTAGTTAATAGGAAGCCTTATCATTGGATGTGAAAGGACAAGCGAGGGTCATCGTACAATCTTAGAAGGCAACTTGTGGGACGCTTTAGCAATTTTCGTAAGGGACTAAGATCGTTTATCGATGCTGCATCGAAGAATCATCGAGGGACTACGATCTTTTAACCGAGGGTCTTTGCTAAAGCGTCCCACGTTCGAGGGACATGATTGTTTTATCCGAAGGCAACAAATAGGGTTATCCTAGAGGTGCGCGTGTGAAAAGTGTTTTGATTTCAGTTATTTGTCTTGAGAATAGTTTTTCTAACATTTGTTTTTATGTCTCTCCATGCACGCCTAATTACTTACAGTTATAAATAAAAACGGTAAAAACAGAAAATAAAGGTCCTATGTTATTACAATACTTCGGAAAAGGGGTTACAAAACCACAAAACCGAGAAAAAATAGTAAACAATTCAAAAGAAATTATAGAGATCAAATAATTGAAAAGAAATTAAACAACTAACAATTTAAATAATTAAACAAATAGAATAAAAAAGGATAGACAAGATTAAACTAACATATTTTTATGACGTTTTTTATGAAGCAAAAGAAAGAGAAAATGTAAAATAGAGATATAACTAAAACAAAAGTTATCTAGACTAAATTAAAATTCTAAAGTTGCTAAATTAAAATTCTAAAAATTATTAAATTAAACCTAAACTAAATTAAAGTTTTAAAGTTGTCAAAATATTTCTAGACTAACTAAAAAAATTCTAAAGTAACTAAAAATTTCCAAAGTTACTAAGAAAAATTCTACACTAACTTAAAACTATTAAAAATGATTCTAAACTAAAATAACATTCTAAATCCACTAAATTAATTCTAAATTTAAACTAACTAATAAAATTATCTAACTAAAACTATATATTTATTTCTAAGAAACTAACTAATCTAAATTAACTAAATAGAATTAAGAAGACTAATAAAACTAAACTAAATAGTATGGGATATTAAACAAAAAAAATGGTGGTGGAATAATAAACTCGGATTGGACCATAGAAAATGAACACAAAAAAACAGTAGGTCCAAGATTGTAAAAATAAAACAAACAGAAATAACTAAATAAAACACTGTTGGACCGGGGTTTTTTGAAGTAAATATGGTGGTAAAGCCTTGAAACGAAACAAAAGTCAGGGTTGGCCTAGGCTCAACTCGGGTACAAGCAAAAAAAGATAAAAAGAGAAACCCTAAAAAAAGTTCCCAGCCGCCACTTCACCTTTAGTCAATACACCAAGAAATCTCCACCTTAATAGCTATTAGAATTTCAAAAATTTGCTTAATTAATGCTTACCCTTAATATTCTTTCTCTCTCGAAACCACACGATATCCTCACTCTCTCATCTGATAACCGTACAAAACCCTTCCTATTTTCTCTCATAATTAATCTCATTAATCCAATTAATTTGCAATAAGTATTAATTAATCGAATAAAAACAAATACTTTATTTCCTCTCTCTCTATCTTCTTTCTCTGCTTTCAATCGCTTTTGCACGTTTCAAAATCACCATCATCTTTGTCTCGGTTCGTTATCTCTCTCTTTATCTCTATTTATTCCCAGTTCCGATTTCCTCTTCATCATCAACTAGCTTCCTCCCTTCAACACAATGGCTTCCACCTTCAAAGTTTCAACCAGCTTCTCATACTCCTCTTTATGTCATAACATTTGTCGCATTTCGAAGCTTCGTCACTGTGATACAGTGGGAGAACTGACTTGGGTGTTTTTCGTTTGATTGTAAATGTTACGGTTAGCAAGAGTCGCCACAGACTTTTCTTTTATCCAAAAGGAAAGGTGAAAAAGCACATGAAAGACCTTTGAGATTGTTTCTTGAGTTTGAGGGGTAGATTATGAAAAGGGAAGGTGTTAGCACCCTTTTCATCCATAATTATCTATGGTCTCTTAGTTGCTTGCTAGATCACTTGTTTTGTTTGAAAGTATGCTTTGTGGTGGTTTTTGAAAGTATTTTTGAAAACGCGCCTTCGTTTAGGCAAACTTTGTAATGATTCTCGTTTTGTAAGAACGTATACAAAGTGTTGGACTTTTGAAAATATTTCATGTTTTGAAAGTGTTTGGCGTGTGTTTGCAAGGATGTTTGTTTTTAAAGTGAGCAAGCAATTAGGAACGTTCTACCTACTCAAAAGTCTTTCATGTTCGTTTCTCTCTTCCTTTGATATTGCTATCTCACCATTGATTGGTAAGAAGCCTTATCTTTGGATGTAAAGGGACGTGCGTGGGTCATCGTATAGTCATGATAACAATGTTATGAGATATATTAACATTTCTCTTTGAGGGACTAAGATCATTTGAAAGGCAACTTTTGAAGCGTCATCAAGGGACTATGATCTTGTATTTTTGATTGTTTTTGCTAAGACATCCCACATGCATAACATGACCATTTTTTAGGCAACAAGTGGAGTTAACCTTAAGGGTGCATGTGTGAATAGTGTATTTGATTTGCATGCTTTCAATCTTTGTTAAGGGTTATCTACTTGACGATTTTTTTATCTTCCCATACAAATCCTAATTACTAGCATTTATATGAAAGCGATAAATTGCGGAAAGTAAATTTACTACGCTATTACATCATTAGGGGGATGGGGTATACAAATTTACAAATGTGGAGATGAAAGCAAATAAACCTAACTTACTATTACAAAGCTTTAACAATTACATAATTATAGTGCGAAATAATAAAACATACAAAGAAATATAAAGAGAAGATAAATTATTTTTTATGTTTTTTTTTAATGAAAAAAAGTTCTAATTGATTTGAAAAGAAATTAATTAAAATCCTAATGTCTAAATAAATTTAATAAAAATAAACCAAATTTAAATAAAACCTAAGTCTAAATTTTAAATTAATTTTAAGAAAAGAAATTGATTTTAATAAGAAAATGTTTTTTTATCTTTTTTTTTAGTTTAGAAAGAAAAAGAAAAAAAAACAAAAGTGTATGCATAAATATTTAAATAAAATAATTTTTTTGAATTTTTTATATGAAAATAATAATAATAAAAGTATAAAGAAAAAATAAAAATAAAAATTAAAAATAAAAAGATTAAAAAAGGTTTTATGAGCTGACACATGAGCTTATGTATTGGCTCATCCAGATTTCGTATTGGCTTATGTGCCGGCTCATGTGTGTTTCTTGCTCCTCGAAGTCAAAACAACTCAGTATGAATCGACACATACTGGTTATGTGTCGACTCATAACCAATTTGTATCGACGGATACGTGTTTCGTGTCGACTCATAACCTGTTTTGAACATAGTATGTGTCGACTCATAGCATTTTGTATCGACACATAACTGTTGTTTTTGTTTTTATCACTATTTTGCTACATGTAAAAGTCAATTCTCAACACATGGTTAGTGAAAATGAAAAACAAGCATATGGTTAGCTTCAAGGCAATGATATCTACATTTTATCTTCACAAATGAACCATTAATGGTGCTTGTATGAAGAGTTCAAAGTCAAGAAAAACTTACCTTGAAACTGAAATTTGTCTTTGAGTTTGAGCTGCTGTATGGGTTGTTGTTGAGCTTGGGAAGTGATGATAGTGATGTTACAGAAGTTTTTCTTGTGTTTGAACAACTTCATATGATGTATGTGGAGTGTTTGGATGGTTTGTTTGGACAAAACTTACAAGGAATGAAAGGTTCAAGGATTTGGACTTCAAAGCTCAACAATGGGGGTTTTATGGACAATTCTGTTTTTTTAGGGCTTCTACACAAGATAACTTCTTACTTTTCTCTCTATTTTTTCTAACCTCTTTCTCTTGTAATTGGCCTCTCTATTTATAGAGAAGGTTTGAGACTTGAAAAACTCAGACTTTTTAAAAATTACATGTTATGCATGTTTCAAATTCATAAAGACAAGTTGCTTCATGATGAAGAAAGGAGTGAATTAAGGAACTTAGCCATGCTTTGAAGGTCTTGTGGATTGCTTCTGATGTTGAGATATTTTTCTGTGATCTTTGGAACATATTTCAAGCTTTGAAAGAAGAGAGTGGTTGGAAAAGTGAAGCTTTATGCAAATGGAAATGTTGCTTTTGCATTTCTAACCATAAGTGGTATCAAGACTTGGACAAAGCTTCAAATGCTTGTGTAATACACTTAGGGTTTGTGTAATTGCTTGATTATGCATAGATTTGGAGAGAACATAGCTTGAAAAGAGAGATATTGTAGCTTTGGTTGAAATTTTAGTCAAGTGTTC